TGACTTTGCCTGTACTGGCTGTACCAAGGAAGTGACATCCTTTGGTGTCACAGCCTGAGCTTCTCTTAAGAACTGCCTACATTCTCTACCCCTCCGCCAGGCCTTCATTCAGCCCCCAGGGTCCAGCTGTCTCTTGCTGCTCCCCGAATAGCAGCTGAGCCAAAGCCAGCTGAGCAGAGGAGGGTAAAGGGACATGGCCATTTCTGCCACTCTGTATAGCCTTGGCTCAGCAGTTGTCAGGGTGGCTTCTGGGTTACAGATTTGCTTCTTCACCCAAATATGTGCCCTGCCCTCTGAAACCAAGCTCACTAATCTACACTGGTCCACTGCTTCTCCTCTTACCTAAAAAAAAATCCACCATTCCAAACAACACCAAACTACTCTGACAGAAAGATGTGATGCTGGAAATGAGTTCTAGTTGCCAAATAACTTATGAAGATACATCAGAAAGGCCAAAATGGATGTGGCAGTTTCTTTCCTAAGTAAGATCACTCTGGGCAGAACAAAGAACTAAGGGACTCTGGCCTCAGTTCTACCCTCAAGCCCAAAAGGAAGGCATCACCTTTTCTTGCTCCTGTTTTACAGTCAGAGAGAGTAACCTGCTCAGGCCTCACATGAAACTGGAACACTGTCCCCCACTCTGGGCTTCCAGGGGCTCTTGCTGAAGCCAAATGCCCCAAACTGGCCCTAGGTGACCCACTGTCCTGGTTTTCCCAGGATTATAGTATTCAAGACATGGGACTTTTAGTATGGAAACCAAAAAAATCTTAGGCAAACCTTGATGAGTTGTTCAACCTAGCCTGTCCCCAAATTAGTGAGGGTTGGCTAGAGGTTGCCAGTCTTCCATGCTGCTCTGGAATTGTCTGGCCATGGTGACTGGAAATGAACAAGGTGCCATCTGACAGGATAAGATAACTACTTCCCAAGAAGCTGTGTAGTGAGCATCAGGCTGCTATAAAAAGCGTCCTACGGTGTCCTGCTCCATTTTCAACAGCTCCACTCCATTCTTTCAATAATTCACTTTCCTCTCAATTACAAACCAAGACAATGCAAGAGAAAAATGAGGGGAGCTGGGAAGACAGTCCCTAGGGTTCCTTTCAGACAGCCTGGGTCCTAGGATATATATCCTCATGAATGCACAAACTTATATCCTCATGAATGCACAAACTCCCCAAGTTCCTTGAGAGCTTTGGGTTCTTTGTAAAGGAAGTCTACCTAAGCAAAACTTCCCTGTGTTCAGGAGCCAATAGGAGGCTGATCATTCTGTCTTCAGGGGACAAATGACATGCCTCCCTAAAGACATTGAGGTCTTCCTTGGCTATGATTGCTTCCTCTAGTTCCTGACCTGTTTTCCAGAGTTGGTTTCTTACATAATTGATAGGTATGGCAGGGAGTAAACCACCTTGTCCTCTGAAAGCCTGAGATGTCACATTTAAGGGTGAGTAGGACAGGTGCCTTAAGGACATAGGATCTTCGATCTAGGGCAACCCTGTCTCTCAGAGGCACTGTAGCCCCTCCTGTCAAGAATAGCTTTATTTCCAGGAACTCCCCAGAGCTGTATGAGAAGTCAGCCCCTGCTGACCCAACAGGGTACCCTCAGAAACTTACTGTGAGCTTCTGAGTTCTGATACCAAAAAAAGCCCATCAGGAATGCTTCCCTCAGTCCAGCACACCCTCCTCTGGGGAAGGTCCAGCCTCTAATGTCCCAAACCAAGGATGAGAAGCATATGTCCACCCTACTTCTTAGACAAAAGGGCCTTAAGGGTCCCTTTGTGGGAGGTACTGACAGGGAGAGAGGCTGGATCAGGCACCATCCTCAATGCATTGTTTTGGTTTATAATTGAGAGGAAAGTAATTGAGAGGCTGCATCAGGGGTCATGTAGCTCAACAACAAACATGCTGCCTCTCACAAGCCAGGCTTTGTGGCTGACTACCAGAGAATTCCCACTGGGAATGGAATCTGGAGCAGACTCTATGGTCAACCATCCCCAGATCAAAGCCTCCATCTTGAGACTTCCTGAGGACGATGCATCCTAGGAGATAGGCTGGGGAAAACCTAGGTCTCTCATGCTTTGCAAGAAGAGCACCTGGGCCACCTCCATGCCTCCCTTCCTCCAGAGTGCAGAAAAGATCAGCAGCCCAGCTGCCTGGGAGCCTTCTCTTCCCAGATTCTGAGGACCAACTCTGTTGCCGAACAGGGCTGGAGAGCTGTAATTATCGAGACAGGATAAAAGCTATTTTGGGAAGTAGCTGCCCTGCTGCCAAGGCTTTGACTTCCTAAACTAAAACAAGATGCACAGAAAAAGAGGGTGAGTGTAGGGGAGAAAAAGGAGGAGCCTGCTCAGTCAAAACATTAAATCTTGAACTAAGGGAAATAGTAAACCGTTGCCAAAGGTACAAATTTGTATATATGGGTGAGCAAGAGACTAGCTGTTAAGGCACCTCCTCCTGGCTTTGGGAAGGAGGACAAAACCAGGTGACCCTCTGCCCACCTCCTGCCGACTCCTCTTTCCTAAGACCCTTCCAAAAACACTCATTCAGTCTATTCTGTTTTGACTTTGAGCACAAACTATTTCATATTGTTGTTTAAATGTTTCCTGTCCATTTCTTGTCTCTCCAACCAATGGTTTTTCAAGACCAAAGAATGTTGTGCAATGAAGCTTCAATGCTTCCCCAGTAGTGCCTAGCAGAGTGCTATGGGTATGTGAATTAAAATTATCTATGGAAGAGGGGGGGAGGAAGGAACAGAGGGAGGAGGAAGGGAAAGGAAGGATTTACTGTCTTGTATAAAGATAATCTCTAAAAGTAGCTGCTCCCACCTACAGCTGAGCTCAGGGCATGGGGCTGGATAAGAAACTATGGCAGAGAGTGTGGCAGCAGCATTTCTGGACACCTCCCTTTCAGCTGTTCTGTTATCTGAGCTCAGGCTGCCCCTTGCTCATTTCTTTGCCATCTGAAGTCAACTGTCCATCCTGGGTTAGCCCAGGGATAGGACCCATTAGAGGCCACTGCTAAGCTTTGGGTAAGAAAGAGAGAAATACGGCAAAAGAAAGAATGGAAGTAGCTTTGACCATCTTACCAAACACAGGGCAAGAAGAGCCAAAGTACTTATGGGAACAATACACTGTGAAATCAGGACACTGTTTGCCAAATTCAGGACATAACACTGCCAGAAGCAGAGTTCACCTTGAGTTTTTCCAAGTTAAAGACCCATATAGTGTGTAACCTAGAAAAGAGACCCTTTTTTGGAGTGCCCAGGCTGGAAAGAGGAGAGCCAAATGGGGACTGATTCAATCCATGGCTTCCTGGTATTTCCACAGACCACTTGGCAGTATTCATCATCTGCCAGAAGGTTTCTGTTCTTTCTAAGGCTGCAACAAGCTCATATAGCACTTTTGTGCCAACAATCCTCTGGGGAGATGCAGCCCCATAGGTGCATAACTTGGCAAGTATGATACAGGCTAGACTTCAGCCCCTACTTGCCTCCTCCACCAGGTACCTTTGTGCAGTGAACAACCTGCCCAACCATAGGGAGCAGCTCTCTCTCTGTACCCCGCTTCATCAGAGGCCAGGAGAGGGACTTGGATGGGGTGGGGCAGGGGGCACAGGAAGAGTGGAAGGAACCTCTCAGGGCATTCTTACCTCCTCATCTGTCATAACAGAGAAGTAGAAGCCAGGCATTCCCCGGGGGGCAGCAAATGAATTCAGAGAGTACCAACAGGAGGGGAAAAAGAGAATTTTACTGAAGATGCCCAGTGGACTTGGGTGTAACCTGGCCCAAATCCCTTCCTAGTGCAAGTGCAAGATAACAACAGATAGTATTTATTCAATGCTCACTACTGCAAACCACCACTCTAAGTGTTTTATGTGTAATACCCTGTGATAGCTTGTAATAAACCTCACAGTAATACTAAAAGGAAACTATTATTCCCATTAACAGATGGGGAAATTGAGGCTTGGAGAGGTAAAATAACTTACCAAACTCAAGGTCACAGTCAGAAAATAGTGGATCCAGGGTTCAAACCCAGTAAGATAACTATGGCATCCATAGGTTACTATACCACTACTTTATAGAACCTTGCTGCCCTTCCCTCCTCCATCGCTTGGCAGGCTTATGCTGATTGGGACTGAATTGCATTCCCAGGGCTCTCTCCTTCCCAGGAACTGCTTTATGCAGAGCCCTGGCCTCTGTCATGTTCATAGTGCTGGAGCATATTTGGGCCACAATACTCATCGCAAGAAATTCCTGCTGCCAAGAATTACTCTCTGAGGGCTGGTCCCCATCCTCCCCTGCCACCAGAGAGGCCAAAAGTACAAAGGAGTGGAGGGTCATGAGGCCCTGGGGACACTTCTCTTAAAGATTCTAGGGCTGCAAGACCCATAAACAGTCTCAAGGGGCAGGCTCAGAGACTTCCCTGGAGATCCTGGCTGGGCAATAGCCATTAAGTATCTCCCAGGTTGTAGGGTAGAGGCTGGAGGAGGATTCTGAGAAGCCAGAAAGACACATGAGAAGAGTCTCCAACCTGAATTAATGTAGGCTCAGCCTGTGCAAGACTGTGAAGTAGGCAGTTTGCTTTAGCAGTTTTTTGTTTTGTTTTGTTTTTTGAGATAAAACTCTCACTTTGTTGCCCTGGGTAGAGTGCCATGGCTCAAGTAATCCTCTTGCCTCAGTTTTTCTATTTTTTAATAGAGATGGGGTCTTACTTTTGCTCAGGCTGGTCTCGAATTCCTGAGCTCAAGCAATCTGGCCACCATGGCTTCCCAGAATGTTAGAATTACAGGCATGAGCCACTGCACTGGGCCTTTTTTTTTTTTTTTAAATCACATGAGAGGTAAGGTCAGCTAAGGTGAAAGGCCATGGGGCTTAAGTAGTTCTTCATTCCAGAAATGATTTCCCATTAAAAGGAGACTCTTGAAAATAAAAAAGATTCCAAGCCCCAAAGAACTGATTCTAATGGTGGAATTTAAGGCAAGATGAGAAGTTCTTCTGTTCCTTAAGGTCAAAACCCTAGCATGTATCTCCTAAAGGACCTAGATCTACAGATACATAGATTCCACCCTTTCACCTGTATTCCCACCTCCCTAGACCTCCACTATGGGCCCATAGGAGAGAAAAGCACAGACCTTTTAGCCACCAGATGACACGATTGTACATTTCCTCAGAGACATCTGAAAGTAACAGAGAGATGGTTGCTTTTCTTCTCCATGGGAAGCACACCCTCATCCTCCACTACTTGCAACTCCCTTTCTAGTTCAACACGTCTCCACCCAGAGGTGCCCCTCAACACTTGATCTCCTCCAAGAAGTCCTCCAGCCTATGCCTAAGCATCACACTCCCCCTACCTCTATCTTTTTTATACCCACTCTTCCCCTATGGATGCCTTTCCCCTCCTAGAAGTTCAAGTTCCAGCTCATAAACACCCACCTTCTCCACTCTTGTTGCAAGAGTATTTACTTGAGGTCCTTATTCTCTTTTAACAGCCCTTACCAGCCCTCATCCCAGCTCAGTTATTCATCTCCACTCTTAGGAAGCAGCTTCTGACCCTACAAAGCACTCTTTACTATCTTCCATTGAAAAGTTAAGCAGCGTTACCTGAAAGAGTCAATGCCCAAGCATTGTGATTGATGCCATTAGCTTGGTGCTGATAAGAGAAGCTGGCAGGGAAGGAATGAAGCAATAGGGCTTAAGAACGGGATTAGCTCTGCCACTGGCAAAAGGGCAGCCCTTAGGCCCAGAATGAAGAGGCCTTTCCTACCCACCCCAACATCCCATCTCACTAAATTGAAGCTGGACCTGGGCAATCTGCTTCTTCACATACCCAGGAAGAAAGCACTAAACCTTTGAATGGGTTGTTTGGAGGTATACTTGGTGGCCTGTGGCACTTCCCTTAGTGATGATGCCTGACTTGGAAAATCCTTTGGTGTTGGTGGTGGTGGTGGGCTTGCCTTCTCTCTCTGGAACATACAATCTTCACAGAAAGGTTGTGAGTCCATTTTTAAAAAGGTCAGTAAAGGGTCAAGGGGAGGAGGAGACTTAGGCTCTAAATCAGGTGTTGTTGGCTGGCTTTGGGGTGTTTCGACTTGAGGATTCAGTAAGTACCACCACGAGGAGTCAGGTTCGTACCTAGGTAAGGACCTAGGAGGCAAGGGCCGAGGAGTCAATTCCACTTCTGGATGGCTATAGGGCTTTCGTGAGGGTTCTGGATACCTGAGTGCAGGTCCTGAAGACATGTAGGTAGTTTCTGTGGGTTTTGGAGTTTGCTGTTTATAGGTGGGCTCTGAAGAGACAAACGCAGAAGATTTACGAGAGCTCTGAGACATTGATGGAGCTGTCCCACGTTGAGTTGGTTGTAGTTCTGAGATGGTGACCCTGCGGCCTATATCACTGTCTCCTCGGGTTGGGGACTTCATGTTGGACTCCACCTCTGATATTAAGAATTTAGGAGAGTATTTGGTTTCAGGATAGGCAGAATGCTTTCGTGAAGACTCAGGATCTGGCCGCACAGAAACTCGGTGTCCGCTATCCAACTCTCTAATGGTGGAGAATTTGTGGGGCAATTCTAAGTGCATATTCTTTTGCACGGCCCTGGAGTCTGGAAGAACTGAGCTGCGAGGACCCATTTCTGGCTCTTCTCTAGCTATCTTCTTCTGGAGCCCCCGAGGTTCTGCAGAGACACGGCTACTGCCATGCTCCGGGGCAGGGGGACTCCTTGAAGATCTGACCTCAGCAGTAATCCTTCGGATAGGCTCAGTTTGTACTGCCTCATCTTTAGGGTAAACTGAAATCCTACGGGGAACTCTGACCCCTTGGGGCTTCTGGACCTTGGAGGGTGGGTCCTCTTGTAAGATTTGTGATTGTGAGTTATCCTTTTGGTCTAAAAAACTCAACTGACGAAAATATTTGGCATCTAGGGCTGATGAGGCACGGTGACTGACCTCATTACGCATTTGTTTGGCTTCACTACTTTTTCGTGTTGCTTCCTCTCTGACTGGACTAACATTCCGATGCATGCTTATAGAAAAGGAAGGTGTTGTCTGAGTCTGCTGGACCTTTCGATGAGGAGAGGAATGGCGGGATCCTTCTGTTCTTGATCGGCTCTCGGTTCCCCGAGGAGTGGATGCTGGAGAGACACTGGGCCCTGGCTTGGGAGACAAAGACCGAGGAAAGTCTGATGGTGAACGGGACATGCTCTGATGTGCAGCTTCTGATCTTGATCTTCGCTGGGCAGAAGGGATTGGGGAGACTGAACCATTTTGCTGACTTGAGCCAAAAATGTACCCTTGTCCCTGATGAGGAGATGCGTCCCTAACCTCAGACCCTCTCTGTGCTGAAATCTTGGACCCAGTTTTACTTGTCTTCAATAGCTGAGAGACTATACCCTTCTGAGAAGACCCCATATTTTATCAGCTGGCTTGTATTCAGGATCCTAATGAAGCCTGAACATTTATCCTCAGTTTTAAAAGTTGTTGTTCTTGAGCTCCCACGAAAGTGGTTGTTAGTCTAAGAGTGTCTCAAATAGGCCCCTTAGCTACCTCTCTGTCTGGTGATGTCATAAAGGAAGGAGCAGTACATCCTGCTTTACAGCCACTTTGGATTCTTCAGAGAATCCCAAGCAGTATTGAAAGGAAACTGGATTTGTCTTCGGAGTTAACATCACCAAGCCTTTGGCCAAGATCTTAACAAAACCTGGATTTCCTTATATACGGGGAAGGCTTCAGATCCTCTTCTCTCCAGACTCTTAACAAATTCTCAAAGGACTCATTCTAAGAAGAAATAAGGCAAAAGACCCTGTGACGGCAAGCTACTGAAACCAATCAAGCTATGTTAGCTCCAGTTTTAATAAGGTACAATGTACAAAGTTGCCCCAATTTTGTTAAAAAATCCATTGTTTGAAAGTCAAAAAACAGACCTCTAACCTTTTCTAGTTTTCACGAATGCTCTGGTTGACCCTGGGGTAATAATCCAGGATGCTCAAATCATAAAGTCTTATGATGTTAGTTCAAGAAAGTATAGTATTTTAGAAGGCATTTGGAGTTAAAGCCATTGATTTCAATCATGAACAATTAGTTGTACACTTTGGACAAGTTACCTGACTTGCACCATTGCCAGGGACATATATATAAGTGTGTCACACAATAATGTTAGTGTCCTTTCTCATGATCCTCTGCTGTCAACTATCTAGCCAGCTGCACTCTGGTTCTCTCTTGATTTGAAAGAGTGACTTTATAATTCAGATAATCATTTTGGATGGAAAACTCTGTTATCTCCTTTTCACATGAGATGCTCTCTCTTTCTCTCTCTCAGACACAGACCCTCCTATATCCAAACACATGATTATTAGCCCTAAAGGGTTGAGGGTATAGGATGGTTGGCTTCATTTTTCTATAGTCTACATTGACCATTCTTTTCTTATCTTTTAATTTTGTATGACTTGCTTAATGTTTCAAATTAATATTAGATTACATTTTACATTTATAAGGTAAAGTTCAAGTTGTAGTTGTTTCCTTCACCTAGGAAGTGAACCACATACCCATGCATTATTCCCTTTGGATGGGAATAATGGATTCCCATAATTTGGATTATTCCCTTTGCTGAGTCTCTTCTTCCCTCCCCACTCCTTGAATTTAACTGAGTTTCTCTATCCAGTGAGCATATAGTTTTTAATCTACTAATTTCAATTTAGTATTGAGCACGTGATACTTGTTTTTCCATTACTGTGGTACTTAGGAGAGTATTCTCCAAATTCATCTAGGTTGCTATAAAAGATAGCAAATATCCACCCTTTTAATGGCTGAATAGTATTCCATGGTATACATATGCCACAGTTCATTCGTATGTTAAAGGGCATTTGGGTTGTTTTCACATCTTTGAAATTGTGAATTGGGCTGCTATAAACATTCAAGTGCAAATATCCTTGTGGTAAAATGACTATATTCTTTTGAGTAGATACCTAGTAATGGGAGTACAGGGTCAAATGGAAGATCTACTTTTAGTTTTGTTTTTTTTTTGAGACAGAGCCTCAATCTATCACCCTGGGTAGAGTGCTGTGGCATCACAGCTCACAGCAACCTCTAACTCCTGGGCTCAAGCGAGTCTACTGCCTCAGCCTCCCAAGTAGCTGGGACCACAGGTGCCTGCCACAATGCCCAGCTATTTTTTGGTTGCAGCCATCATTGTTGTTTGGTGGGCCTGGGCTGGATTAGAACCCACCACCTTAGGTGTACGTGGCTGGCACCTTAGCCACTTGAGCCATAGGCGCTGAGCCCTACTTTTAGTTCTTTGAGGATTCTCCATAGTTCTTTCCATACAGGCTGTACTAATTTGCCTTCCTACCAAGAGTGCTTGAATGTTCCCCTCTGCACCCACACCAGCATCTCTTGCTTTGGGACCTTGTGATGCGGGCCATTCTCACTGGGGTTAGGTGATATCTCAAAGTGGTTTTGATTTGCATTTCTCTGATAGAGACAAGCATTTTTCATGTTTTTTGGCCATCTGTCTGTCCTCATGAGAAAAGATTCTGTTCATGTCTCTTGCCCAGTTTTTAAATGAAGTTGCTTGCTCTTCTTAATTTGGTTGAGTTCTTTGTAGATTCTGGCAATTAGTCCTTTGTCGGATTCGTGGCATGCAAGTATCTTCTTCCACTTTGAATGTTTTCTTTTTGCTTTGTTGACTATGTGTGTCCTTAGCTGTGAAAAACTTTTTAACTTGATCAGGTCACATATATTTTTGCGTTGTTGCAAGTGGGGTCTTCTTCACAAATTCTTTCCAAAGGCTGACTTTAGAGTTTCATGTTTTAGATTTAACTCTTATCCATCATCAATTAATTTTCGTACCTTTCGTGGCAAAAGGGTAGGGTCTATGCTGTCTTTTACATGTGACTAACCAATCCTCCTAGCACCATTTATTAAACGTGGATTCTTTCCCCCACTGTATGCTTTTGTTTGCTTCATCAAAGATCAGATAGCAATATGAAGCTGGTTTCATCTCTAGATTCTCTATTCTGTTCCATAGATCTATGTCTCACTTTTTATGCCAGTATCATGCTGTTTTGATCACTAAGGTCTTGTTTTTTTTTTTGAGACAAAGCCTCAAGCTGTTCCCCTGGGTAGAATGCCGTGGCCTCACAGCTCACAGCAACCTCCAACTCGTGGGCTCAAGTGAGTCTCTTGCCTCCGCCTCCCAAGCAGCTGGGACCACAGGCACCCACCACAATGCCTGGCCATTTTTTGGTTGCAGTCATCATTGTTGTTTGGTGGGCCTGGGCTGGATTCGAACCCGTCACGTTAGGTATATGTGGCTGGCGCCTTAGCCACTTGAGCCACAGGCCCCGAGCCAATCACTAAGGCCTTGTAATATAACCTGAAGTCGGGTAACGTGATGCCTCCAGATGTGTTCTTATTTTGTGGAATTGCATTGGCTATTTGGAGGTTTTTTCTGGTTATATATGAAACATAGAACTATTTTTTCAAAATCTTCAAGGTACAACATTGAATTTTTTTTTTTTTTTTTTTTT